TGTGTTGAGTGGAAGAGAGGCTTTGCCTGGATGCATGATCTGTCCAGCTGACTTTCAACCCCAGTGCTTCAGTGGAGAATTCTCAGGCCTGTGCTCCTCTACTGGGGCTAGGAAATGAGGGGTGCAGGTGCAGCAGGGAAGATCTGCTTACCCAACTGTTCAGTGCTTCCATTTCTATAACCCTATCACCTAACAGAACATGATACAGAATGGAGACTTAAGTGAATATTAATTGACTAACTTAATCATTGAATCAACAAAGATCCCCTCAGCAAAGATCCCCTGTGGCTGTTGCCTAGAATAGAGCCTTTTTAAACTGAAAACTTTTTATTAGTGTGTATTAGTTTTATAGCATAGTGGGTTTTGTTTTGGTATATTCATACACCATATCTCCTTCTCCTGTTAATGAACCTCTAGTACCTTCCTGACTCCTCCTATGATTCCTAAATTGTTCCTTTCCTTTTTTTTTTTTTTTTTTTTTTTTTTTGCATTACCAGGGATTGAACTCACGACCTCGAACTTGCCCGGCAGATGCTTATGCCGTTGACCTAAATCCCCGGCCCCTCCTTCCCATTCTTTAATTTGGAAATCCAAAACACAATTGTAGGGAGCTACTGGTTGGCAGACAATGTGCTAGGCATCTGTTCCTGTAGTATCTTTTCTAAAGTTCACAACCATCCTACAAGATAGGTATTCTTATTCCCATTTTATAGACAATAAGCCCGAGGACTGGGAAATTTATGGCTTACTGTCTAGCAACTACTAAGTGTTAGGTTGGGTGAAACTCATGTTTACTGTCTCCAAAGCTTGTCATCTACATGGTACACTTTGCTCAGGGTAAAAGTCCTCCTTCATAATTTGAGGAACATCTGTAATTTCCTTTTCTGCCTAGTCAAAAATGGTCCCAGGTCAAATTCTATCTGGAAGGTTGACTGTTGAGTACCAAAGTGATCCTTTAAATAAAAGTAGCAAGATCTGAAAGAACCAGCATCCCTGTAACTGACATTTATCATGTGTTGCGTCTGTGTTCAAGAGCCGCAGGGTTCCTATGATTTTATTTGTTGTTTTATGTCACAGGTAGGAAGAAACAGTTGGATATGTATTTCCTTCACCATATGGGTAAAAGGAACATTACCTTTTTTCTCTTTCTCTCTCATTAAAGCAACCAAATGTCAAGTCATGGCTTAGAAATTTTGATTTTCATATCCAAATTCCGGAATCTTACGTTTTCCATTTTCAAAGTTGGGGGAGGGTACAAGCAAGATGTGAGAACAAGTCTCATCTGGAAGCCACAGCTGTGGAGCTGTCAGGATTCTAGCACTGTCTGACTGGGCAACTGCAGGTGACTTCTGAGGTTGGGCTTGGAGAGCTAAATAACCACTGTGGCCCCATGGTTCCCGAAGCCAGAAGCTACGTAAAGGGGATAGCATTTTCCTTGTACACTGCTAATGCTGAAAGGGGGGAGCAATCACTGTCCCTTGGTGGGCAGGCTTTAGGGGCTTTGGGAAGACCCAAGGAAAAGGAACTGATGCAAGATGTTACAACCTCAGAGTCAGAAAGGGAAATGACTCTTAATGAGCAGCTGGAGGGGCTCTAATGGCTTAGGGTAAGAACAGGAGGCAGGGAGTGAGGCTGGGTTTCAGGCGCCTGGGAGGCAGGTGACTGCTGTTTGCTTACTCAGGGTGCTGAACAGCTTGTCTGACCTTGTGGGGTCTGTTGTGGGCAGTGACCCAAGTCTCCCAGGTGGAAGGCAGGCTGCTGAGGTGGACTGAGCTGGGTGCAGGGCAGATGCAGAGGCTGGAGCTCTGGATCCCTATCAGCCAGGTAGCTTTTTAGTTTGTGAACAGTTTCCTTCCCTTAATTGGTTCTCTGGGGCACTGGGAGTAGCACTGGCACCTCTGAATAGTACTGTTACTGGGAGAGCAATTCCCCTGGTGATGGAAAAGGCAGGTTGTGTTGGGGGTGGTGCTTGCTGATGCCAGTACTACCTGGAAAGCTATGGCTAAAGCAGATTGACCAAGGGAGGGAACTGAAGATGGCTGTGATGGGTGATAGGGTCTTGTGCGGGCTTCTTGTCCCTGGAACTATCCCATCAAGGGGCCAATCATATGAGTGCTATGGTGATCAGAGAGTGGCAAAGTGTTTAAGTTCATCTCCAGCTGCTCACTGTGCAGATGGGACATTGGGAGTCTAGGAAGGGCTAGGATTCTGTTGAAGGTTATCTAATTGGTCGCTCACAGAGTCAGAACAATCCACCTCTCCTAATGGACAGTCTAGGACTTCTGGGCTATAGAAAATGTCACCTAGAGTAGGTTGCTGCCCTTAGTTCCTCCACTGTCTCTTCCCAGGCTCAGTTGGAAATGGGGTCAATAACTTTGCATGGAATGCAAATGTGTTAGTAGCTCAGTGCTTGGATGGATTCTTTGAGATTTACAGTGAAAAGAGATAGGTGATATCTATACCAGTGAGGGCTATAATATGAGTTTAGACTCTTCTTACCTAAACCTACTGCATCCCACTGTGCATTTTCTTTACATAGAAAGCTTGTGTTGGCCATGTTCTGTGGCACACACCTGTAATCCTAGAGCACTGGGAGATTGAGGCAGGAGTATCACAAGTTCAAGCCTACTCTGGGCTATTTAGAAAAAACTAAAACCCCATCTCAAAATTTTAAAAAAGTGTTGCAAACATAGCTCATTGTGAAGGCCCTCAGTTCAGTTGCCAGTATCATTTTTTAAAAAAAGCCCTGTGTCACAGCCAGGTGGTTCCTGGGAGTATGGTGGCTGAAGGGGGATAGATTATGTATTCATCTCCAGCCCTAGCCAGTCACTTGGCTTTCCTGATCAGATTCTGACTCTTGGCTCACATCTGCTGCTGGCCCAGCCCTCTAGACCCTGGACACTCCTTGGTTGACCTTCGTTTATTTTTCTATTCTTTCCCTGGTGATATTTTTCCTGACCTCACCTTACCTATTGCCACTGTGTTATTTTCCCAGATCTCTTTGTTCAGCACTAATCACTCCCTCTTGACCCTGGATTTACATTTTTAGCTACCGAAACACTCCCACTTGCTTGCAGTTCAAAACGGAAATGTCGCATGGCCTTAAAGGCTCTTTCCAACAAGCCCCAAATGAACTTGGTAGTTTCATTTTCTATAATTCTTGTGCATGTCCTAACCTTATCAATATTCCTCCAAAGAGGTCCCACATTTTGACATTTATAATCCTCTTTATGATATTCCCTTTCCCGTAATACCTACCCAGATTGAAGGTCCAGCTCAAATGTGAACCAGTTATCAGAAGAACTTACAGGAGTTGAGAGTGGGCTTGGGAACAAGCAGGATGCTCAGAACTGAATTCCAAGGGCATTGATCCCAAAGTCTAAAACAATTTAAAGAGCTATAGCTTTAGGCCAGGAGTGGGTCAACTTTACCTATAAATAGTAAATAGTAAAAATTTTTGTTTCTACTGGTAGTAAAGATTGTTTCGAAGTTTCTCAATTTTGCCATTGTAGCATAAAAATGACCATAGACAATACAACGAGAGTGACTGTATCTCAATGAACTCTGTTCCATAACCATGTTTCTTATTGACAGAAACAGGCAGACTATATTTCTGACCCCTACTTTAGGTTCTGGGAAAACTGAGTGGGTTTGAGCCTGTGGATGGTAGTAGTAGCTGTCCAGAGCCAGGCAGGGCTAGAACAAGATGAGAGGGAATTTCAGGGAGAAAGCAGTGTTAGGATGAGACACTTGGAGAATAGGGAAAATATTGGGAGTTAATTTTGGCTGACATATGAGATGTTTGGAGGAGAGAAATGGAAACTGTTCAGAAAGGAAGTTCTCAGAGGCATCCTGACAAATTTAAGCTACTCTATTCTATAGACTCTGGGGGCTACTGAGGCTTCTTTTGATCAGTGAGATATGACCATATCTGTATTTCCAAGCATCATTCTGACTCAGTGAGAAGGATGACGGAAGAGACAGGGCTGGCAACAGGAGTGCTTGCATGGGGCCACTGTAGTTATCCAGGCCACTACTGGTTTTGGATTGCTAGTCCTTGATTGCTGGTTTGGATGCCTGAGAATTTTTTTCGGGGGAAACTTGCTAAAAATATACATTTCTAGTCCCACATCCAAGACATTTTTATTTGATAGGCTCAGGATTTCTAAAAAGCTCTCCATACTTGGAAATTATTGATCTGGGCAACACAGGAAGAATCCTGATCTTAGTGGGGTATGGATACAAGAGAAAATAGGACATATGTAAAATGGAATTTGACAACCACCCTCTTCTCTTCCTGTTACACCTGTCTCTGTTCTTGACAGCCCATCCAGTTGACTCCTTTTCTTTAACTCATTGCCTATACCCTTAACATCCTGCTTTAGTTATGTCCTACTGGTTCTCTTTGAAATAACTCCTCTCTGTCCTTTTGTCTGCTTCTGCTCTTATTCAAGATCCCATTAATGCTCAGCAGGACAAGCCTCCTTTTTGACCTCCCTGTCTTCACTCCATCAAGATAATCACAAAGCCCAGCTAGGTCATGCTCCAGAAACTTTCTGGTCTGCCTTTTTCTTTAGAATAAGGGTCAGGATCCTTAGCTTAGTGCTTAGGGCCCTTCCTGAGTTTACTCCGCTGCCAGTCTTTCCAAGTTCCTTCCCCGCCACACCCCTTCATCTGATTGCTCTGTGCTCTTGTAATTATCTTATACTTGTAGTCTTCCTGCCCCATCCTCATGCCTTTCCTGCAACTCAACTCTGTTTCCCTTCCCTTTTTCCTCCCAGCTTGTGTGGGACTGTATCTCCCAAGGAGGCAGAGTTAGATGCGAAGGGACATCCCCCAGGACCTTTGTGCCTTATAAATGTGTGTCTTCTCCATCCGAAGTTCTAATGCTCTGCTTGTGACGGACAATTGGTCACTATGGCAACTGCCTGTGACGTCACAGGATAAGGACTTCAGGTGAAGTGGCAGGAGCAGGTGAGTGTGTAGGAGGCAGATTTTAATGTCTGTCGAAGCCCTTCTTCCCTACACCTCCCTTCACTGCTGGGGGCATGGAGGGGGCTCGGGCTCCAGCTGTTTTTTAAAATGATGCAGTGCTCATGTGTGCCTGGCATCTGCGTGCTGCAGCAGTGTGGGGCTGACAGAGTGTGTCAACTTGAGCTCTGGCTGTGCAGGCACCGCTGCTGCGTGAGCCTGTTATTCCATTCTGGATTGCTATTTTGATACCCAGATTGCATCATTCTTCCTACGTATAAACAGGGGGTCCCCAGGGCCCTGCAGCTACTCACTTCTCCACCAACACTGTTGTTGTGATCAGCTCTATTTAAATGAGCTGCCAGATCGGGGCAGGTTCCAGCCACACATGAGCACTGTCATTTTGGGGAACATGGAGGGCTGAAGGATTTTTGGATGGAATCCTAAAAGGCTGAGAGTGATGGCCTCCCGAGCTGTGCAGAGGGCGACAGAGCTAGTTCCTGAAAGTTGAAAATCTCGTTTTCTTCCTTCTGAGCTTCTATTCCAAGGCACCCAGAGGATTAGGAAGGAGATGCAGCTAGGAAGAGAGTCGCCTCTTTGAGGTCTCCCTCTTGCTGTTCAGTTTGTGAAAATTGCTGCAGAGCCTTCGAGATAAACAGGAACAGGAGGAGTCAACCAAGCTCTGTCTTGCAGGAGCATCTCAGGTGAGCTAGAGAAATGCAGCCCTGGCTGAGGACGCATCAGAGCAAGGAGAGGCTGCAGGCTGCTCCCCCTACCCTACCCAGAACCCAGCTCCCCAGGCTTAGGCCCTGCAGCCCAGCTGGTGCAGCATGGAGGGTGGGCTCCCGGGCTTCATATCCTCCGGGATCAGTGGTGGTCTTACCTGTCGCTCCTCTGATTCACTCTGACTTCTCTCCCAGGCATTGCTCTATCACAGGGCAGCAGGGAGACAGGTAAGCCTGTTGACAATCAGGGGCAAAGTCAGCAGTCACCTTAGGGGGTGTCTTGGAGCACAGTTTGCTTTTCTAACAGAGACTGAGCATTTGAGGAGGGGGAAAGGTGTGTTTCTCAGAGGTGTTGCTGCTGAGTTATGAGGTAGAGGAAGGTTTCAGGGGCTTATGTTGGGGCCTTATTTTATGTTCAGTATTCTGGGGCTGCCTGGGGTGGGAGGGCATGAATGGCTTGGGAGGACAGCTAGGCTGCCAGAGGATCCAACCAGAGTTATTTTTTTTTTTCCTTCTTGCTTTGTGGCTGGCAGAGGCATAGTAAGGTAGTGTCTTACCTGTGACTATTGAAGTAATCAAATGCTGCTCAGTGATTCAAGGTATCACCGATGTTTTGCAAGGTCTGTGTGGTTTTTAGCTAAGTCCCTGCCTCTCTTAGGGTCTCCATTGTCTCTCTCTGTATGGTAGAGAATTGACTAGATGAACACTGAAGGTCTTTCCAGCTCTGTTTCTGTATGTGGGCACTACCAGAGGAGCACTGGGTCCCATTGCTCTATCAAGGTAGATCTTGGGCCCAAACTGAAGTTAACTGGAGTCCTGAGAGCTGAGGAATGAAAGCCCCCCCTCCTTCACCCTCATAGAGCTGCTAAGCATTGGGCTCAGGTTTCTGCACCTGGTGTGGCTGTGCGCACCTGGTAGCCTGAGATGACCCCATGCCAGCTTTCTGTGTCCTCTTTAAGATTTCTTTCCCTCTTTAGTTTTCTGTGCCCTCCAAGGCCCAGGTTGATTCTGCCATTTATCTCTGAAAGGTGGACTACCTGATCTAGGCCTCCCTTTTCTTGCTGTCTGATCAGGTCCTGGGCCTAGCACACACTAGGGCTGAGCAGCATTTTTATAACAACAAACCTCAGGCTACACTCTGGGCCTGGGTCCTTTAATTGAGCTATGAGTCAGGGGAGGTAAACATGTCTTACAACTCAGCATCAATCCCCACTGTGCCTTGGTTTCCGAACAGCTTTCTGTCTGCTGGGAACCTGTCCTTTTCTCTGCAAGAGGGGAAACCCATCATAACTACCTTCAGAGTTTTTCTGAGCTTTCTGCCTGTCTCATCTTCACGATGAAGAGGATGGGAATATCAGAAGTTGGAGCTGCTGGTTCTCAAACTTGGTTGTACTGTACATTGTGGTCACCTGGGGAATTAAAAAAAATACTGGTGTCTGCATTCTACCTCCTGAAACTCAATTTGTGCAGGGTATAGACCAGCCACCAGGAATTTTATTTTCATGGTGCTGAGAATGGAACTTGGGACCTTGTGCATACTCGGTAATCACTCTCCACTTTTCTACTGAGCTACATCTCCAGCCCAACATCAGGATATTTAAATATCTCATGATTCATATTTGTAGCAAAGTTTGAGAACCACTGCTTTACAGAATGCAATGACCTCTAGATTTATTTTTTCTAGACATAAAAACTACATTTCACTTGCCTTTCCTCAAAGATTGTATTTCTTAGAGCTGTAAGTACATACAGCATGGCTGGCTCCCAGCTCCAGCTGGATTGCCAGGGCCCAGAGCTGGGTCCAGGTCATTATAGTCAGATGATTATTATGGAACATTTTATTTATAATCAAATTATCGAGTTAGTTAAAATAAAATTATCTTGTTTATTTACAACCAAGTCAGAAGTATAACACAGTGGAAAGGCATGGCTTTTAGAGGTGTGGGTTCTAATTATACTTCTGCTCTTGCGTACATGATCTTTGACAAGAGACAACTTCTTGGAGCCTTAGTCTCTCCCACTATTGAATGGGACTAATGCCTGTTTTGAGATAGCTTGATGATGAAATGGGATAACACACATAAAGTGAGATAGCGTGAGTAAAACATGGTACAGAAAGTGGTGGTAAGCAGATGTAAATTTGTCTCGCACCTCCTGGGGACCTGAAGTTTTCACTGTCATGACAGATGAGCTGAATGACCTTTGCTTTTAGAACTGTTCTCCCAGGCTTTTAAGTCCCCCGGAGAACCTTTGATGCCTGTGACTTCCTCATTCTGGGAGCAAAAGCTCTGCTTCCTGTGGGGAGAATCAGGTGGCCCTCAACTTCTGGCTCCCTGTTTCTTAGGACTGATGTTCCTGTGTGTGAAATAAAAACTCTTAGACCGTAGATTGAATAATGCAAATAGAAATAAGTACTATATATAAATATGACTTTATGTATGATGTGATTTAAATATTTATTCATAACTAAATTAACAGTAAATACAGTAAGTACATATTTGGTACAGTGTTCTCCATCTCTACTCTGCTGTGGTAGCCCAGAGGGATGATCTCTTACACCTACCTCCTCAACCACCAGTCCTTCTGTCCCCTGACCTTCTGACAAGGATAATAGCCAGGGCTGTCCCTTCATGTCAGGGAAGTAGTTCCCTGTTGTAGGGAGAGGAAATGGGTTGGATAATCCAAATTTCCTTGCTAGTCCTCTTCCCCTTATTTTTAAGATGTAGAAAGTGAGGTTCAGAGACATGGGGTGACTCACACAGGGTTACATAGATGGTGTCAAACGTGGGCCTGGAACTCACTTCTCACAGTCTTTCTCAAGCACCAGATCTCTGCTTTCTTTCTTTTTCATTTTTTAAACAATTATTCCAGGCTGGCTTTTTCTCTCATCCAGAAAACTTCCAGATGGCTTCTTACTACTTACTGTGGCTCTGAATGCAAGGAATACACATGGAATATCCAATACAAAAGAAATATAATTGTCCAATCTGCTAAAAAAATCAGACAACATTCATTAATGCCAATTGTGTGTTATTTTTGTATGTAGAAATGTGAACAGAGAGTGAAAATGTAGTGTGACACTTGTTATATTAGAAGGATGTGCAAGGTTTTGTGGGCAACCTGAGAGGGACTAATTAACTCATCCTGGGGGAAATCAACCCTGCTTCTCAAAGGTAGAACCTTTGAATAGGTTTGAAAGGCTGAATAGGAGTTTATCTGAAAAAGAGGGGCGCAAGACAGTAGCTCAGAAGGAGAGAACAGCATCTTTACAGTCATGCAAACGGTTGTTCTGTCAGGAGGTAACAGGTTTTTGGCTGGCATAGACAGATGAAGCTAGAGATGAGGCAAGATGGCCTTGGATGACAAACTGTGGGTTTTGCCTTTAAGGCCAGGAGAGTTAGAGGATGTGCAAGGAGGCTTTGTTTTGACAATTCAGTTCTTTCTCCGTTAATGAGGATATATTTCAATGATTACTGTTTGGGCATCTGGTACTAGGGAGTTAGAAGTCCTTTGGAAATCACTATCAGAGCAGCATTTCCACCCTGGCAGTAGGTGAGGAGGGTCTCCCCAGGGTTAGCCTAGCAGAAGAGAGGGACAGTCACTTGATGGCTCTGGATGATGTCACTTGCAGACAGCATCGTTATCTACTTCTGGCCACTGTTCTTGACTGGCAGAAGAATCCAGAGGCTGTTTTGTCTTCAAAGTAAATAGCTCTGCAAAGACTGGGGGAATTTTGCTTTAGGGGAGGAGGAAAGAAGAATTGAACTATTATTTTATATGACTAGTGTATTTTGATTTCGTAACAATGAGCTGCTAATAAGTGTCTTTATTAAAACAACTAAACTTAGTTTATGATTCTGTGGATTGGCAATCTATGCCAGGATTCTTTCTGTGGTTCTTTGGGAATTGAATCCAGGGCCTTTGTACTGAGTTTCATCCTCATCCCAACCTCCCTTTTCTGAGACAAAGTCTTGCTAAATTGCTCAGACTGGGTTTGAAATTGAAATCCTCTTGCCTTAGCCTCTCAGGTCTGGGATGATAGGGTTGTGCCATCACACCTGACTCTGGATGTTCTCCTGCGCTAGGCTGGGCTTGGCTAATCTGGCTATACTCTGTGTTTGTCACTTGGGGCCAGCTGGTGTAGGATGCTTCAGGGAGGATGTCTGAGACAACTGAAGCCTCTCACTGCGTGGTCTGTCAGCTTCCAGGATTCTAAACTCCCCAGGATAGGTTTTCAAAAGGTGGTCTTAGAGTTAGTTCTAAGAGCAAAAACAGAGTCATGTAAAACCACTTAGGCTAGGCCTGGATCTTGTTTATTGCCACTTTTGTTGCATTCTGTTGACCAAAGCAAGACATGAGGCTAGCCTAGAAACAAAGGGTACAGTTTTAGGGTAGGATTGTGGAGGAATGAACGCAAGCGAGGGAAGAATTTGTAGTCAGCTTTTCCATCTACTGTTTATTATCACAGAGAGTTGGTAATTAAGGTAATTGCCTTACCATTAATGAGATATGGAGAATCTTTTGAATTTAAAGTTAATATTTATGGAGGACTGTGTTTTCTCAAGTATTATCTAATTTAATTCTTACAGGAACACATACTTACCTTTTTGTTTTCCATATGATAAAAATAAACTACAGGCGAGTTAAGTGAGATTAAGTGACTTGCCCAAGGTCATAGGCTGGTAAACCATGTATTTGGATTTAATTTTGAGTGCCTGTCTATGGCACCTGGCGTTGTGTCATTTCTGTCTATGTCAATGAGCTGAAGCACTTAAGACTGTGGTGGTTCTGATGCAGTCACTGCCATCGTCAGCCCCTTCCCAAGCCATCTTCATGCCGGTAGGTATTGTCCTACTCCTGGGTTCATCTCTTTGTTCTCATTGGGCTGATGCTGTGTGAGTCACTGTCGTCTCCAGGGTGACGGTGTCACACTTCTATATAGTCCAGAAGCTCACTGTGCCATGGAATGTGTTAAAAGACTGTTTTACTTCTCTAGGGAAAGGTATTGAGTCACAGCTGATGTACACTCATGTACATATGGTGTACCCTGCATGGACAAGGTGGGCGTAGCCCAGCAAAGACCTCTGCGCCTCTGAGCACACTGGTATTGGCTATACCAAGAGAAAAATACCTCCGACGCGAGCAGGCCAGGGAGGCCTTGTCTTTCTCTGGCTTAGAGCCCCCTAGCAGCTCTACCTTTGAGATCTCCAAAGTAATCTTGTTACATGGTGGCCTTAATGACCAGAGCTGTGCTCTGAGCTAAACTGACTCTCTGGAACTTGCCAGTGATGGCAGCTGAGCTCTCAGGGATGTAGAGTGAGAAATGGAAGCAGTAGAAAAGTATTTGATCATCAGTGGTAGAACAGAGTTGGGTATGGAGAAGCGTGGCTTGTGGGGGAGGGGAGGAAGGTAGAACTGGGCAGTGACAAGCCTATGATGGGACAGTCATGTTCAGAGTACCTGTGTGGTGACTGCAGGCTGTGGCATCAAGCACAGGTGGCATCGCATATCTTAGTGTTGTGTATTAGAAAGCCTCTATCGAGGCCTTGTGTGATCTGCTGTGTAACCCTGACTCTGTTGTCTTTCTTTCTCGACAGAGATCATCTCCTGTCCTGGGTGTAAGCGAGTATATCTTACCAGGGATGTAACTGAATATTTTTTTCTGCAGTGCTTTTCTCCTGAGCAACCCAAAATGGCTAAGGTAAGTCCTTGTCAGAAATTTGTGAGGTCTTTGGCTGTGATTCTATCCACTTATCACTCTGTCTGACCTATTATTCCCCCTCAGTTTTCATAATCATCAACCCATCTTTCCACCTAGGAAGAAAAAATGTTTGATTTGGGAGTTTTCTATTAACTGAAAATAATATAGGCTTTTCTTTGCATGTCTACTTTTTTGTTGTTTTGTATTTTGTTTTTGTTTTGACTATACTGGGAGTTGAACACACAGCCCTTGCACTTTGTTTATTTTTGAGACAAGGACTGCCAGGCTGGACTCCAACTTGTAATCCTCCTGCCTCAGCCTCCAAGAGTGCCTCCCCAACCTAGCTAGTGTCAGTTCTTTGAGTGGAAGTTGGATGTGTCTTAAGTATTGTTTAATTTAAACAGATACTTTTCTCTCCCTTATACCTCTTACTATGCTTTTATTTTCTTTTTTCTCCCTTGAGACAAAATTCATACACCATCCTAGATTTAAAGGGCTCATTAATATTGGCTATATATAAGAACTACCATATTTTTCCCGAGTTTCTAAATTTTACTTCGTTTACTGAACAGTGTACCCTCTCTCCATTAAGATATGCTTACTCACTACACTTTATTTGTTCACTTATTTTACTTACTTGGTTGGTTCTTATATCTGATTTTTATTGAACATTTATTACGTGCCAGGCCCTTCTGGGTAGCAGGAGGATAAATGTATTGTCCTTCTAAGGAATTAATAGTTTATTTAGGAAAACTTTCAGAATCCCTATCAGTTTAGTGGCCTGTATGATTCAGACATAGTTAGGTAAAGTTCTCCCAGTGTGCTTGGCATGATGCTTTACATCAGCTCTTGCAGGATGTTTGTTGACCAAATGAACACTTAGACTAGAAGCAGATTAGGCATTCTCAGACCAAGCAGACCCCAGGTATAGAAACAGCTCTTAAAGTTGGTCTGTGCTTTCTTTTCCTTGACTATATATGGTCATCTCTCTGTATGTTCCTACACGTTGGGCTTTTCCCCGCTCTGTAAGCCTGTGAAATATTCTGCTTTGGCTGTGCTTTCCCTCCATAACTATTTCCCCTTGCCTGCGTCGTGAATCTCCTTATCATTCAATATCCAAATCAAATGTTACCTCCTGATGAAAGCTTCCCTGACTCTCCTAGAGTAAGTTCCTGTAAACCTCCTTTTGCCGCCTTAGCAGTTTCCCTGTCATTTTTGGTCACAGCATTACCCATTTAATGGGTACCACCCTGACCAGGCTGTGCATAATTTAAGAACAAGTCTCAGCCTCTGCATGGGACTTCTGTGAACACCTCCTGCGGTGCCCACTGCTCTTTCAATACCAGAGTGTGCTTTTTCCTACAAATGCTGCAGGCCATTTTTCAGTGGACAAATGCTCCACAGTAGTGGGAGACATAGCCCTGTAGGGCCAACGTCCCTTAAGCATGGTCCAAAAGAGGTCATGCCAGTAACTACAGACTTTCTGCTTCTAGACCTGCTCTGAGTGCAAGGAGAAGAGGGCAGCACATATCCTCTGCACCTACTGCAACCGATGGCTATGCAGCTCCTGCACTGAGGAGCACCGGCATAGCCCTGCTCCTGGGGGCTCACTCTTTCCCCGCTCCCAGAAGGGATCTTCAGGTACTGCGTCCCCCTCCCCAGCTGCTCCTATGCCCTAACTAATACCACAATGCTGAATTCTAAATTCCCTGGACCGGAGGTGGGTGGGGGGGCTGGAGAGGTTCCCTGGAGAATAGCTCTCAATCCTTTTTTCTCAACTGGCGAAGGTAGGGGTGGTTTGGAGTCTTTCCCAAAGGGAGGAAGTCTCCTTAACAGTCATAGGGGTGACTCACTCTAGTCTCTGACTCTTAGGCTGGGGGTGGGTTGGTGTGGGTGAAGTGGTGCAGGGAGCATAATCTTGAATTCTCACGGAAGCTAAGTTTCTTCTCCCTCCCACCTCTGTTTAGAGCAGTCTGCCTTGCTATTGTTTAGGGACTTGATTAACTTAGTCTGCATCAGAGCTCATCCTCATGTCCATCCAGCACCATCCATTTAAAATTATAATCTTCTGGAAGGTCTTTTCCTAAGGTCCTAAAATGGTAGGAGGGGCTTTCCATTTGTCAGACCTGGAGGAACCAGAGTTCATGATCTATGTGATCTAGCCTGGAGTCTGGCAAGGCTGAGTAGTTGGCTCCAGTCCCCTCATAACAATCCTGATGAATGAGGAGGGTTAGGTTAACTTGGAAGCATGTATTATTCTGCAGAAGATCCATGTGCAGCAGGAGCCAGTAGCTCTCTTGGCCTGTGGCAGATGGTGGGGCATGCTCAGACTTGTATAGATGTACTGTTTCTGGACAGCTGAGCAAATCCAGTCAATCCACGCTCAAATTCCTCCCAGTGCCCTGAAACCTCATCGTCCCAGAGAAGGGTATCTGCTATTTGTAGTATCTCACCCAAACTCTGTTTCTCTGCCTTGTGCTTTGAGGGCTGTGGGCTGCTCCACGGAACATAAATGACAGGCCTATGCAAAACAGAATGAGCCCACTTTCTCCGTCCTCTCTGGCAGGAGTGAATGGTGGTGCTGGGGACTTCGCCTTGTACTGTCCTCGACATACGCAAGAAGTGCTTAAACTATTCTGTGAGACCTGTGATGTGCTCACATGTCATAGCTGCCTAATTGTAGAACACAAAGAACACAGGTGGGTCTGCTGGGTTGCCTGAAGTGGGTTTGGGGGGGAGCTCTGGGTTTCCAAGGCATCAAAATCCTCTCTCTGCCCACGCCACCCTTTAGCCTCTGGGATGAAAGTTTCTCTTTGCTCTTGCTGTGGGGTTTCTCTAGAAAAGGCCTGGTAGGCCAAGGGCCTGTAGTACCTGTGACTGTAATGGTGGTCTCTATGGACCCAGCTGAGACAGTGCACTGTTGGGGATTTCTGTATGGCTGGCATGATCAGGACAGGAGTCAGCTCTCCTGAGCCTTTTTCTTTGTTTCCTCCTCTAGGTGCAGACATGTTGAAGAAGTTCTACAAAACCAGAGGATGCTTTTAGAAAGTGTGACTACACAGGTGGCACACAAGAAATCCAGTCTACAGACATCTGCAAAGCAAATTGAGGACAGGTAGCACAAGCTAGTCCCTTGCTAGTGCTGGGAATGCTCTGTCCTTTGGTATCCTGGGTACCAGGCCAGGACCTTCTGGAGAGGATGTGGGCATATTTCCTAGAAGGCATATGTCCTGGCCTGGGATCATCACTTAGTGACTGAAACCAAGCTGGTTCAGGATGATCAGACTGAGTGTAGGCCAAAAGATATGCTTGAGAAAAATAGATGCTTGAGAAAAATGTGCACAGAAGGTACTGGGGGAGAGAAAGTGCAGGCCTCTAAGCTATTAGCTTTTATGTTTGCTGTCTCTCAGCTCTCATGGTCCTGAGGGAAGGGCTCACTGTGTTTTGTTCCATTGTATTTACAGGATTTTTGAAGTGAAGCATCAGCACCGGAAGGTAGAAAACCAGATCAAAATGGCAAAAATGGTTCTGATGAATGAGCTGAACAAACAGGCCAATGGACTCATAGAGGAGTTGGAGGTATACATGGACAAATGGGTCAGATGGAGGAGTTCTGTGTTCCTTCTGGGTCAGAAGCCAAGCAAAGAAGTCTCAGAGCCTAGGCAGTCTGGGTTACAGTCTGATATGTGGTTTCTGTAGCTCTCTTCTGCTGTTTGTAACTTAAAATATCCTGCCTAATCATGGGAGTGCAACTCTTTTAGAGCTGAGAATCCAGTTTGGACTTCATCAGTGGAATGACTCTTAAGTAGCTGCTATCTTTGACTGTACATGGGTATGGTCTTAGAAGAAAGAGTCACAAAACAACTTCCTTTTTCAGTAGGCTATGCCCAAGAATTGTTGACATTCATATATTTTCTCATTCACCACCCATTCCATATTTGCACTTTAAAATTCGTAGTTTCTCCCACCCATCTTCTGTCCATCAGCAGGTCATGGCAGCACTCCATTTTGCTGTTTGCCTCTTGGAAATGCAGCCTTGTCTGATTCCATCAGTGTCTATGCTGATATATATAGGCCACTACACTTCCCAAGCAAGTCCAAGAACAAGGTCAGGGACTCTGTCTTTTTTCTCTGTGCCCAGGGCATTACTAATGAGAGAAAGCGGAAGCTGGAACAGCAATTACAAAGCATCATGGTTCTCAACCGTCAGTTTGAGCATGTGCAGAATTTCATCAATTGGGCTGTCTGCAGCAAAACCAGCGTCCCTTTTCTTTTCAGCAAAGAACTGGTAAGAAAAGCCTCCAACCTCTCAGTTTGTCCTTTGAAACTTATATATCCTAGGGGTAGTGAGGAAGTTCCTTTATTTTGACGCAAAGAGTTGTAAGATAGTAGCTCCATCTATCCTTCAGACTCAGCGGCTTTGAGTTAGGAGGCAAAAATTATCTTTTATCTCATAGGTCAATGGACCCAGGTACTGAAATGATCCTTCCCTCCAGGCAACTCAGCCACCCAAGTCTGTAGTTCTTTGTCTTAGGTAATGGATTCACGTATCCTGTTTCTGAGCGGTGTGCAGACATCTCATATGAAGTTATTGGGATCTAACTGGAGCAAAGAGGACAGGAGGGATTGAAGACAATTTTGACTTGGGCTTGGGAGGATGGTCATACCCAGGAGGAGGAAGGAGGAGGAAGAATTTTGAGAGAAGTTGATGAGGTTTATATGTGGATATATTAAATTTATGGTTGCTTATAAAACATTTGAAAGGAGCCATCCAAAAGCTGTTTTGACAGGTGAGTTGGGAAATCAGAAGAAAAGTCAAGGTTGGAATTCAAGATGTGGGGAGTCACTGGATACTGATGTATAGTTATAGGAATGTGCATAGAAGAGGATGGCACATCTGGAACACAGGGAAAATGATCATTTTCTACATAAACAGAGGAAGAGGATGGGTGGAAAAGAATGAGAAGCCACGATCAGAAGTTAGAGGAGAAATAGGAGTGTGGTTCACTGAAACTGAGAGTTTCAAATGTGAAGTGGTCATTGATGTCCATACTACATAGGTGAAATAGGATGGGTAATGGTGAGAAACCTTGAGGCTGGAATTGAGGGAGTCCCTGTTGGTCTTTAGGAGGGAATTCCAGCAACGTAGAATAGTTAGAAGCCAGAATGAGGAAACTGAAGATGTTCTCTCGTCTGAGGAAGTGAGGAAGTAGAGATACAAGTGAAAAGGAGGGAAATCAGTAGTTTGTAAATGACACAGTTTGGGGAAAACTTAAGTTTGGCAATAATTTGTATACATTTACATGGAAGGAGAGGTAATGAGAGGGTGGAGAGATGAGTGGGGGGGTGAGCATATTGAGAAGGCTAGAATAAACTGGGTGATCTCAAACACAAGGACACTCCTCTCCTCTTAGAGGGGAGGACAAGAAAGGAGTGGTATAATGTAGCTCAGTGTGGAAATAGGAGGGATGCAAGTTTGGGGCATTTGCTTTCTATGGTCTCTTTTTTTCCTTTGTGAAATAGAAGGTGGTAATAAGAGCTATACATTGGGTGAGTAGTATTTAAATGAAGTGAAGAATTTAAATATAACTGAGGACAGTGGAAGGGAACGGTAACATGAAAGGAAGTGATGAGAAAAAAGGCTGAGGGGGCCTTTCCAGGGTGCTGCTGAGATTAATGATCCCTTCTGTGTTCCTGAGCTGAAAACAGAGGTGAAGATGACTGACATTTTTTTAAAAATCAAAGAAATAAGAGGCCAAGATGTTGGCCAGGCATAGAGGTAGCCACTGTAATCCCAGAACTCTGTGGAGCTGAGGCAGGAGGATCATGGTCTGAGCCCAGCCTGGGCCATTTAGTGACTAAGACCATGGTCTAAAACAAACAAACAAACAGGCTGAGAGTTAGTGATGGAATAGATGAGAGCAACAGCAAAGGAAGATGGCATCTGACTAAAATGGAAGGGTGTTTTAGATGCTGGCTGGAAAGCAGTAATGGGGAACTAAAATAATATTTTCCACATGTAAGGTTTTTAATGAAGGTGATTATAGAATAAAGCCTCTAAGCAGCTGATATCCTGAGCAGAATTACAAACCACTTGAGGCCCAGAAGGGATGTACAGATTCTGGAGGCCCTGATTAGAAGAAAGCAGACAGCTAGGAGGAAGGAAAGGTGCTAAGATGAGAGGAAAGGAGCAGGGGGGATGACCAGAGGCTAAAGAGTTGAGATTCTAAAGCCCTTTCGCCTATTCATAGAGCCCAGGAGAGGAAGTTGTCATTTAGGGACATGACGGCCAAATGAATGACTTTGGTGCTGTTGTCAGATTGTGTTTCAGATGCAGCGATTGCTGGAGACAAGTTGTAACACAGATCCTGGATCCCCTTGGAATATCAGATTCACCTGGGAGCCTAACTTCTGGACCAAGCAGCTGGCTTCCCTTGGTGAGCTAGGATCCACTAGGTGGGCTTTGACCTAAATGCTAAGAATAAATATGGGAAATCTGCTTAGATTACTGGGTGGGTCAGCACACACCCAAGTTAAAGCACTTCCTGAGACCACCAGTGGTCATGGAGTCATTCAGCAAATGCCTTTTTGTGTGAGAGTGGAGAGGATGAGGAGACTAAATACAATGGTAGCATAGGACTTTGTAACAAGATCGGGTGAAATTTGAGCTTTCTATTCTGCCTAAATGTTCCAGTTACCTTGGTTTCATAGCTGGAAAGGGGGCAAGACAGTAGCCCTGTTCTCTAGAATGCTGAATGGGAGTGAAAATATGTCTTTGTGATCACACAGGATATATGTGTGCAGATGCAAGCAAGGCGTCTCGGTAGTAGATTTTGCGTGTATTACAAATCCTTTGGTACTGAAATATTAGCAGATCATTCATGGACTCATGCATTTTTTTCTTCCCTGCTATACAGTTAATAATTTGCTGGCATTTACTCTTTTTTTCTCTCTACTTTTGTGGCTCCTCCAGTTATTTTATTATTTTTTCAGGGTGCTTTAAACAATTTATTTAACTGAAATGCTATACACTAACTTCCATTTATTTTGATACATCTTTTCCCCACGGTGATTCAAGGTGTCTTCAAGCCCATATAAACATTTTATAAATATCTGGCCATTTGGGTATGCACCTGCACAACACCTCACATCTTTCAGCAAGAAAAATATTGAAGAATAAAGACCTGACAGAATTAAATGAGTATAATGAGAACTGCTCCAAATATTTGTTTCTCTGAGGTTAAGGCACCACATAGCTGTTCAATTAAGAAAACCATCCTTACAACACAGGATGATTTTTTATTTTTAAGTGAGGCCTGGAACACTTAGCTACTAATTAGGTGCTGAGTGGCAGAGCTCCATCCCCAGATTGTGCCATGAATTCATAAGGAACAGGTTCCAGCTACACAGGCTCCTGTTTTTGGTTCTCACAAAGTGTGTGTGCTTCTTTGGGTGGTGTAGGCTGACCATTCAGCTGAACTGAGGGTCCCTTCTCTTTAGACTCCTGATTTTCCTGATCATTATTTTTGACATGTTAAAGGAAGCTACTGTGACTCTTTGAGTGTTTGATATGCTCAATATGCACATCAATCCTCATGGCAAGCATCTTGTCCTTAACTTGCTTGTTTACAACAATGCCAACAATGTGCTGGGTAACACTGCAGACTCTTCCTGTTTTGCCATGGTGACATTAGTGTGGCATTCCTTTTTGCACAGTACCCATTCCTTTGATGTGTACAATATCACCTTTTTTTGTAGATTTGCATGTATGTGGCCAAAGGAACAGCTTCATGTTTTCTAAAAGCCCAGAGAACATATATCAGGTTCTCCTCCTCTTTCCCTTTGTATTTGTCATTTTGGCAGATTAGTGGAAGAGGGATGGTGGTTCTGGCAGAAAGGCTGACACTTCTATTTAAAAGTCTGTTAACCTAGGGCCTTTGCATTGAGCTGCATCTCCAGGGGAGTTCTGGGAATCAAACTCATGACCTTGCACTTGTCAGGCAGGTGCTTGTTCCAGAGCTACATCCCTGGCCCTGAAAACTTTTAAAATTTTGAGTCAAAGCCTCACTGAGTCCCTAAATTGCCTAGGTTGGGATCTTCCTGCTTCAGTCTCCTCGATTACTGGTTTTTAGTCTTCAGGTAGAGCAACCTGAAGTTGCGCCTGCATTGACAGCCTAATGGATTTGTTAAACATCAGGCCAACTGCTGCCTTCATTTCAGGCCGTTAGTCCCAATGAAAGTGTTGAACATGGCAATGTGATAAATGATGCAGATTTATTTTCAGCTTCCTTCTTCCCTTTGATTTAAGTCAGCAGGCCTTTGGCCAGCCCTTGATCTGGTTAAGGCCCAAAGGTAAATCATACCACACCCTTTCCCCTTAAGGAGTTCAGTCTTCCCCCGAGGAAGCCTCTTCAGAACAATGAGGTAAGGGAGCCATTATACTGAGAGAGAGTAGATATCATTTCCTCCTGCACAAGGGATCCAGAGAACTCAGAGGGCTTTGCTAGTATCTGTTACAGGGGCTTCCTTGATGTCTTCCACCTTTTTTTCTCAACATACAGTTCCTGTGACTTGTGTGTTTCTTGTTTGTCCCAGGAGTGACTCATTTTACCTGTTGCTAGGTTCCAGCATAATTGCTTCCCCTCTCAATGTTGGTTCTTTTAGTCAGAATTCCTCTTGGGTTGTTGTGCTGACAGAGGAGTAGGTGCTTGTGGAAGGAACCCACGGTTTCTCTAGCAGGATAGAAACAGGGTGATCATCTGGTAAAAGTTAAACTAATGCCTCAAATATCCTCCACCTCTGAAGCAGGTTTATACAGGTGATGCTACTGCAGCATTCTAGACATGGTCTTGGAGATCTGGGGTTGAATTTCCTAATCTCTGTGCCTAGTGCAAGTTCGTTGCATGATGTCCTGGGAGCTTTGGTCCTAGGAGCAAGAAGTTGCAAGGGGGGGTGGATAAAGCAGCAACTGTTGCTTATCTTTGGAAAAATTCTCTGTTCTAAATTTCCAGGATGCATAACCACAGAAGGTGGACAACTGTCCCGGATAGATACTCCTACTTATGGAGGTTTACAGGGGCCACCAACCTTTTATCAAAGTCATCAGTCCCCAGTGGCTCCGCAAGAGGCCCTTAGCCACCCCTCTCACAAGTTCCAGCCTCCAGCACTGTGCTCCTCATCTGTGTGTTGCTCCCATTGCTCCCCAGTGTCACCTTCACTCAAAAGCCAGGTCCCCCCATCCAGTGTACACCCGTCCCATAGCTTTAGGCAGCCCTCTGAGATGGTGCCTCAGCATCTGGGGTCCCTACAATGTTCCACCCTGCTGCCCAAGGAGAAAGAGGTGACCTGCAGTCCTCACCCTCCAAAGCTGCTGCAGCCTTGGTTGGAAACCCAGCCCTCAGTGGAGCCGGAGAGCACATCCCAGCAGCGACCTGGGCAGCAGCTGACTTCCCAGCCCGTGTGCATCGTCCCTCCACAGGACATTCAGCAAGGAACCCAGCAGCCCACGTTACAGACGCCTTCCATCCAAGTTCAGTTCGGCCACCATCAGAAACTGAAGCTCAATCACTTTCAGCAGCAGCCACAGCAGCAGCTGCCCCCTCCGCCACCTCCACCTCCTTTACCCCCCCAGCAGCCACCTCCAACTCTACCTCCACCCCAGCACCTGGCTTCCAGTCAGCATGAGAACGCCCCTGGGCCTGCCTGTTCTCAGAATGTGGACATAATGCACCATAAGTTTGAGCTGGAGGAGATGCAGAAGGACTTGGAGCTTCTCCTTCAGGCCCAGCAGCCCAGCCTGCAGCTGAGTCAGACCAAATCTCCTCAGCATCTTCAGCAAACCATTGTGGGGCAGATCAACTACATTGTGAGGCAGCCAGCACCTGTCCAGTCGCAGAGCCAGGAGGATGCCCTGCAGGTGAGGACCACTTGGGGAATGCACCTTTCCCAGGTACAGTGAGGCACAGGAAGCAGCTTCACCATTTTAGGGGTGACTTTAAGCTCAGTTCTCAGATTTTAGAACTACTCTGGACTTAGCCTCCATAGCAGGAAAACTGCAGGGAACGTGGTGCCTAGTCCCAGCACAGCTCCCCAGAGTGACCTGGGTAGCCACTGGATGACACTGGAGACCTTGTCCATAGATGGCACTTTCTAAGCTGTACTAGACTCCTGCTATTGAAGGGCAGATACATTCTTTGTAACCCCCGCAAACTCTCTTCCTGGGAATTTATGCCAGGCAAAGGGAAAGCTTAAGGAGGCACTTTTACAACACTGCACAGACAGAGTTAAACTTTATTTCCTATCTACTGGGCTTGGCATGTGTTATATATATCATTTATCTAATACTGTTCAATTAGGGTTTATTACCAGTATTTTCTAGATGCAGCAATGGGGGTTAGAGAGGGCAAGCAGTTTTCCTAGAGGTTGTACAATGTCGAGTAGAGCTGAGACCTGGATCTCAAGCATATTCTATAACACTACAGGAGAATATACTCAGTCTCATTTTAGGGGGATGTTGAATACCTCTCCTCTATTTTCTTGGCTAAAAGCCAATTTAAGAAGTATAGTTTGTACCTCTTGTGATATTTTTTGTATTCCACATCTTCATTTTTAGCTCCTGGTTGTCTTTTCTCTCCTACTCCATCTTCATTTTCCCTACCTCTTCTCACTTTTTCTATACTTGTCTCCTGAACATCTATAATCACATGTCTTCAAAGAAGTCCTATAGACTTTTCTCGTTAAAAAAAATGTAAGGCTTCACATTTATGCTTAAGGACTGACAACTTTATATGCTACTTCACGTGTTATCCTCTGAGGCTCAGTTCTTTGGAAAGCATATGGAATAATCCTTGCGATGGCAGAGATGGCTTAGGGTTCATAGAGGACCACAAGCTAAATCTAAATCAAGACTGGATTATGGGGCTGTGGGTAAAGCTCAGTGGTAGAGTAGTTGTTTAGCATGTTTGAAGCCCTGGGTTCAAACCTCAACCCTGCAAAAACAAACCAACCAACAAACAAATAACAAATAAACAACAAAAACTACAACAAACAAACAAAAAACCTGCATGATGCTTGCTAAACTGCTTATGACAAAGTTAGTTTTGAATTCTTGATTTGGGTTCTGCCATTATGAGGTAGTTTTGCAAAAGGTTTAGATACCAGTCTTTTTCATTTTTGAAAACATTGAAAGCAGTTTACACAGAGGTAGTAGTTACAGTGATTAGGGCAGGATAGACACTAGCTAGGCCTGCTGCTGCTTCTACTGCTATTCTCTGAGATAAAACCACCCAAGTTCTTACTTTCTTTGTTAGGTTACAGATGAGCCTCCAGCATCAGAGGGCCCAAAGCCAGCTGTCCCTCCTGACAAGAACACTGCTGCTACCTTGCCCCAGACATCCGGGGAAGAAACTCCTCACAGTGTCCCTGCAGTGGACAGCGCCATCCAGCACTCCTCTCCGAATGTGGTGAGAAAGGTACTAAGGGAGCCTGCTCTCCCTGACGTGGGCCCCACTGCCAGCAGACACCCCAGGCTCCCGGATGAGGACGAGGGGGCGGGGGTAGGAGTGTCGCTGTTCCACCCTGGGGTGCCTGACAGCCCTGACTCATGCCTTCTGTCCTAATGACTCAGCAGCATAGGTCCTTCCCCACCTCCGTTTTCACGCCCACACACACACTTCAGAGACTGGACCACTGGGCCTCATTTGGAGTGAAAAGGAAAGGGGAAAGAACTAATTTGTGGCATATTCTACCTTGGGAAATGTGCAGTGCTTTGTGAGCATTATCTCACTCAACCCTCCTTTCCAACAGTTGTATGAGGCCACTATTGAAAGCTGAAATTCAGGGACCTATAACTAGTAGAAGAGAGGGCTGATGTGTTTTTCTTTTGACAGTGAAAATGGGGAAAATATTTTATGTGGTGCATGCAACCCAAGATTGATTGGCCTTAGAATTTGAATCAGTAAATTTGTTGGATGAGTGGCCAAGAGATGTCTTGTAGAGATAACTGAGCACTTGGGGACACTGAGATCTCTTGAACATGAGCAGTGGGAGGCCTTCTTGTCCACTTGCTTTCCAGCTTGCTGAAAGTTTTTGTTTAGCTTGGCAGGAACCCGGAGCCGGACAACTCCCACATTTCCCCTCCTGCCTCATCCTTGTCTTGCATCAGATTGGAACCTCAGTATTGTGCCGTGTTCTCCACTCACCTGTCCTGGTGCCCATTGGCCCTATTCTGGTTCCGTGTTGCCTTCTCAGGCCTTGTGCCATCAGTCCTTCTGGTGCTCCGCCTAGCTCTGAACCCTCCCAGCTTGTTCCCCCAGGCCGGCAGCATCCTCTGACCTTGCAACCTCAGTTCTGCTACTTGCTCAGTGTACGACTCCTCATCGAGCTTCCCAGCACACAACTGACATACATGTTTTAGATCAGTCAGTCTCAGTGACACTTGAGAATTTAGAAAAGGGTAGCAGAAATGAAATGTTAAAAAAAAAAAAGAAATATTAACTTTATATTTTTGGTGACTCTTGAAAGTCTGGATAGGCCTCTGATATTAATGGCTTTTTGCCTGTTTGGTCCTTCCCTGTTGAAAATAGCTTGCTCTAGAGAGAACCTAGAGATCCTATACAAGGGAAAATTGAAAAATATGGTGAATGTATGAATTAAAAAAGAACTTATTATGGTAAAAAACATACCATTAATCCTCCTTAAAACACTTTCCTTCTCTAGAACATACTATCTCATTGTTCTTGTCACTTTCTGAAGCAGTTATAGACATTCTCTTTCATGAGTGTCTTTATGAGATGTGATCAAAATGTGATAAATGCCCTTGCCAACATCCATCCAATGAAAGGCAAGCTCATAAAAAGATTATTGTGTATATATTTTATTCACCATAATTGACATCATGCAACTTCTGGCTCTTCCCCAATGTCCAAATGACCATGAAAGATAATTGTTTTGAACTGATTCACAAGACATCAAGGCAGCCATGACAGTACAACTAAAGACACCCACAAAGAGGTCTTTTGTGGCTCTTAGAAGTTTAACTTTTTGTAGTTAGATTATCTATTTATGTATTATGTGCACCACCACACTAATGTCTTTGTATGTGTCAAATACTCTGCTAGATTCTAGGCACACATTTGTTGATGAGGTATTCCTATATTTAGAGTCTGGTAAAAGAAATAGGCAACAAAAACAGATTATGATAAAGTGCTGTGGTGGGCATTGGGGTGTGCCCCAGGGGAGCACATAACTCTAGGAGAAGGGCCATTTCCTAGAGGACATGATTTTAACCTGAGATCTGGAGGAGAAATTGGGCCAGTGAAGAGGGAAAGTAAAATAAATTAGTCTAAGGGAAAGGAAACCTAAAAAGTCCAAAAATAAGAGAAATTCTGGAGCACTTAGGGAGCTTTATAGGAGATAAAACTGTCATTCTCTGGGGAATGAGAGTGATTGACACCAAAGTGGTTGCAACACCTTGTCAATTAGGCTTAGAGTTGAGATTCAATCTTGAGGATGTGGTTGGGGACAACGGAAGGATTTCTAGCAAGGTAGATATGGCTTGAGTGAAATATAAAGGGTTGTTTCAGTGGTGGTAAGGGAGACCAGAATACAGAAGGGAAAAAAGGAGATTGAATGAATTCAGTAGCCATGGGAATAAAGAGGAAGCAAGGGTTTCAAAAGTTATGAGATCAAAGTGTTTTGGACTCAGTGTCTGATAGTAGAAGATAAGGCAGAGGAACTTCTTTGACTCAATATCCAGGTGTGTCATGGCCTTGTGGATAGTAACACAGGGAAAAGAACATATTGAAGGGAGGAAGAAGTTGTTTCAGTTTTTCATGTTCTCTCATGGAAGATGACTGGAAGGCAGCTGTTACAGATGTTAGTAGTTCATCTGAAAGTGTGGGATGTGCTCAAGTGATAGTGAAAATCATGCCAAAAGTGCTGTTGCTTATTTGCTGAGGCTCAGTTCTGTTCCTATGCGTGGTGTGGTAGAAGGGAGGTGATCCGCATCCAAGTGTGCAGCCTATGCAGCCTCTGTGACTGAACCACAAGACTCTCTGAGCACAATAGCAGTGAACTTAGTGAGATTCCTAGGAACTCTGTCGTCTTACTCTGAGTTGTTTCTGACCCTTATGAACTGGGGTTCATGTAGAGGTTTGGAGGGGCAGATGGCCTGATATTTTTCAGGTATTTATGGTGTTAATGGCTTTGACAGAAAAAGGACTCTCAGGGTCACGGTGGCCCAGAGGAACCTCTGGGTTGACATAGAAGTACTGATTATATACAAAGTTACTTCCATAGGAAAAAAAAAAGACTTTCTTTTTGAAGGAATTTGTTGCTTTGAAGCTGGGATCAGATAGGGTGGAGGATGTAAAACCTGAGAACACCAAACATGTTAAGTATTTTATCATCAAATAATGATTTGTATAGTATTTTTCTACTTTTCCTTAGGATTTCACATGAATTATTCCATTGTATCTCTTTGTTTATCCTAGCAATACTATGAGGAAGCCACTTTGTTATTTCCCTTTGAAAGATGTGGAAACTGAGACACAGAGAGGTTAAATGACCCACCAAAAGAGATAGCCAGATGAACATGGGCCATGTTAGGATGAGAGCACAGATTCCTGGCTAACCACTGCTCATTAGTAGGCTAAATTTCCTTTCATTGTGTACTGCAGTGAGAGAAATAGGATTCTGTTTGGCCTCTCACCTGCTGGATTTTCCTACCTGTATTGTTTCAAGTAAACTGAGGCCTAGCTAGGGAGTGGTCTGAGAACCCAGCCTCCTTCGGTCTTGGTTATCTTTTTTCTGATAAAGGTAAAGGTGCTTTGGCCTCCAAACATTCCTCCCCCTGTACTGACTTGTGAGTGTCAGGGAAGTCAAAATCTATCTGAAGGTCCCAGACCAGAGGAACTCGTGCATGGCACCAGGCATCTTTCTGTGTGTCCCAAGTCAACTCTAGATTACCACAAGGAAGCCTTTTGTTGGAGCCCAACATCTGTGCAAAGGACTTGGACTTGGTGCTGAGTTCATGGTAAAATGAGCTGTGAAAATTCTTGAAAGGATTTTCTCCAGAACTAAAGTTTGTACTCTCAGAATCAGCCTTCCTTTCACCTTCAGGCTATTTAAAAAAGCATTTTGACATTTGTCCAGTACAAGTTTCTCAGCCTTGGCTCAACTACTTTGAAAAAATACCGTGATTACAGTTCTACAACAGAACCTCATGCCTCCTAAGCGAAACTGGCAGATGTTTTGATGGCTTCTTTTCATACTTCTGACTGGTCAGCTGTTGGACTGGATGATCTTTTCCTTGAAGTGCACTCTATGGAGTCAAAGCATCACAGAGAGTCCTGAGTCCCAGTTCACCTGCAAGAGTGACTTCTCTTCTGCTGCTCATAATGTGACTCTAGGTCTTCTACAGAGGACTTTGAGACCAAAAGGATGCTGCTCGTGGCTTGAGAAGAGTCTGAGATGTACTTCCTGTAAATGATATGGAAGCAACAGGCATTTCCGTGACCCAGATTTTTAAGAGTGATGCAGAATACTAGAGTATAATGACTCAAGTGCCTTTTCCAGCATTATTAAAGCACTTCAATGCCTGAACTCTTCATTTAACTCTTATAATGGCTCAGTGGAATTTAGATCATCCTGTGGAAGAGGGAATTAAGCCTTGGAGATGGAAAATGGCTTGCTTAAACTAATAGTGTAAAAACCCTGGTGTGTGTGAGGAAATACTAGAAATTTTGCCTTGATAGTCTCCAAATACACTGCTATGGACTCAGACAGACCACAGATATTCTTCTTCAGCAATGATCTCTCCCTTGTGGCCTGGTTTTGATAATAACCTGAATGTTCTCAGGACCTTGTAAAGCTTTCCCAGGGTACATACTATGTCCTGATCAGCACCTCCAGAGTGGTATCGACATCTACTCACTCTGATTTACTCAGGAGTTAAGTCAAATACTTCCCAGGTCTGGCTTCCTACATTTGGCACTTGCTAAAAGACCTATCTCCTTATTCTGGATTTTGTTCATGGAGCAGACCTATGATCTTTGCCTACTTATCCTGGTCCATGAGAAAACAGACCTTTGTTCACAGGCCACACGTTTCCTTCACTGGCCTGGGTAAAATACCTCTGGCCAAATTCTCATGAGCCTCCAAGGCTTGGATTTTGAGAGTTTCACTTGTCTGGTTTTCACTTCAAACTAGACTGGTTTCCTATTCCTTTCTTTTTCCTTCTACCTCATACCCTGGGATTCTTTGTTTTTTTGTGTTTCTCAGATGATCAGGGCACTGGGTACTTTTTAGTTCTTTTCTCTACACTATCCATAAACATTCTTCTACTTGAATAATTTGGTCGTTTGGTATATATCAGCATAGTTACATCTATAGGAATAGACTAGGTTAGTACTAGAACTTTTTACTAATAGGAATAGCATTCGCTGTCAATAAAAACACCAACTCTGCTATT